TCTTATTATTCCATACCTTCCTAACAGAGCACTTCACTCTCAGACTGCAGGTTTACTTGTGGTTCCTGGAGTCTCTAAAAGTAGAATGGGAGGCAGAGCTTTCAGTTATCAAGCTCCTCTCTTGTGGAACCAACTTCCAGTTTCTGTCTGTGAGGCTGACACTCTGTCTACTTTTAAGATTAGACTGAAGACGTTCCTTTTTGATAAATCATATAGTTAGACTTAGGTTTCCAGAAATATTCTTCATTTCTGCTGCTATAGACTTAGACTGCTGGAGGACAAACCGAGCACATTTCCTCACTCTGCTGTTGTCTTTAGTCTCTCTCCTCTACATGTTTGTTGTAATTATTTCTATCAATAACATGTTTCCTTTGTCTCTCTTCCAGAGGAAAATACATCTGAACCAGTTCTGTGTTTGTCTCTTTCCTGTCCCCCAAACCCAGCCGGTCGAGGCAGATGGTCACCTGTCCTGAGCCTGGTTCTGCTGGAGGTTTCTTCCTGTTAAGATTTTTTTCTCTCCACTGTCACCAATGAGCTGCTCAGGATGGGAGACTGTGACAACGTGAAGATTCAACACAATCTGCTGGCTTCTTTAGATTTATTTTTTTTTGTACAGTGCCCTGTGATGTTTGTTGTGACTTGTCACTGTATRAGTAAATTGGATTGGATTATTGTGTAGCATAAGCTGGAGCAACCATCCTGAATTATGGGAATTTTAAATGTCAGTCAGAGTGGGTGTTATATATGAGTCTCAGCTAAGTCTGTGTGAAATTTGCATTTAATATCTGTAAAATTAGCAGAGCTATTGTCATTTTATTTACACTAAGGTCACTTGCTGTGACAGCCATCTTGAACCTCCAAAATTTATGAACATCAAATAATTACATTCTGAGAGTTTCATCAAATATTTTCATTGGTTCATGAGATATCTGCTAGAAAGTTAAATCCAGAGTGACTGAGGTTACCTGACCCTTTAAAATAAGAATTTTCACCGGACCAAACTGGACACAACCCTGCCTGCTGACTCTGTTTAACAAAAGCAGAAAAAAAAGGAAAAAAACTTGATAAATCAGAGAGAATCAATCAAAAGCTGGCTGCCTCTTCAGAAGCCGAACAAGAAAGGGCTTTGTGAATGAGGAGGAGAGCTGTTTCAGTCAAGTTCCTGAGGTTTGGAGGAGGGGTGAGGCGGGGAGCGGCCACTCAGGAGGAGCCGGGATAAGGTTACCCACACAGATTAGCTGACAAGAGCGAGAAAAAACAAGCAAGCATGTTAAAGGTCTAGGTTTACCTGCCCTAGCTGCTCTCTCTAAAAAAAAAAAAAAAAAAAAAATGTGCCACAGATACAAACTGGAAAATGATTCTCCTCCATTTTGTCAACTCCTTTTTAAAACGTTCACAAAAAAAGTTGAAGTCAGGGGCTGCGACGTGCCGAATGACGCTACTCTTAGAGTCCTTTCAAGCCTTTGAATTTGAACCGMATCCGTGCAGTTATGTGTGTCTGTCTGCAGCGGCGGGACTGTGGGAATGTCACCGAGGATATCTCATTGAAGCTAAAGGAGGAGGCATCTGAGGGCGGGTGAGCGCTCGGCAGTTCAAAGGACCCTGGCAGGCACTTTTAGGCCTGACAAAAGAACTTGGCAGATCAGTAAGTGAAGCCCAATGTACTACATTAGTGTCAGGACCCCCTCCGCGTCCCTCCCACTTTGCACTTTCATCTCTGACACGGACATATTGACTTAAAGGAGAGGAGGGGTGTCCGGGGCTGTGAGGGAGGGGTCGGTGGCCGTGGTGTGTGTTAAGGGGATGCATGTGTTCCATTCATTTCCCAAGGTGGAGCGATTGATGCAGAGGGGTCACCGCTGACTCAAATGAGCCACCCAGAAGTCTTTTTTATTTCAAACYAGAAGTCACAGTCCGACAAGCACGTGAGACCTAAACGGGACGTCCCCTCTTCCTCTCATCTCGCGGAAACTCAGACGCACCCCATTAGCGCATGTTGACCCTGCACCCGTCGCTTCAAACGCACACATTTCCTTTTTCACACTGCTGATTGCACCCTTCTGCCTGCTACCCGAAATCCAACCGCTAACGTCGGTCCAGGTCGCATCGGGGTCGTCACACCTTGGCTTCAAGGAGGGTGACGAAGAAAGGAGCCAGAGACGGGGGGAGAGTAGAATTAGGGCCAGATTCCTACTTACAAGAATCACCTGAAGACGAGGAAGGAGAAAAAGTAGGAAGTGTTTTWATTTGTCCTCCGCTTCCACCACAAGTTGCGTAGAATTGAAGGAATTCATTAGTTAGTCAGGCACTGATTTAAAAGCACCACATCATTTTCTTACATCGTATTCACAGCTGATAGTCCGGTAGACTCGGTTCGATTGGGGACCAAAACTGCAAGCTTTGTTTACATTTTCTGTTGGTGCGSTTTGAATCCATCTGCACTTTATCAACCAAACTAAACCCTGTAAACA